CATAAAACGAACATTTTGGCCATCGAGTCAATCAAAATTTTTCCGAATTCAAGTTTTCCTGATCCTCGCGGTCCATATATGATAACAAACTTGTTAGCCAGCAGTGATTCGATCATTTTACCCAGAAGTGAAGCAGAGAGCAAAGAGATCCAAGCGAGTGAAGACACTGCCAGTGGGTTAAGTAGACTTGGAGCATCAGGTTTCTCCAAAGCATATGCGTTATCGTGCAGAGAAATCTTGATACGAGAAATCTCATAACCAATTTCGATTTTCAGTGGGTTAAGTTCAGTGGTGAGTGGAGATAATTGAATTTCCTTCGGTTGTTTTTCACTACTGATAGTTTGAGGTGTGATTCTGATGCAAACTGAAGAGATGCTATTTACATTTAGTCCCAACTGATCATCAGAATCGAGGTAACTAAGGTAAATCTAGAAGGGGGGGAGGAGAGGAACAAGTTAGAAATACTTTGCTACTAAAATAAAACGAGTAGCAAAAACATTATATGCACTCACTTGGAAGAGACTCTTAACTTTAGCCATTAATTCCGAAGCTGACTGATCAAGGCAAACTCTACCAATTAAATGTAGATGTGAGAGTTCCTCAGCATCTCCACTAACTCCAAACATTCGAGTACTGATGTTTGGTGAGGGACACCCCATTTGTGCCACCTGCTGGCAGGGCAGCTGTAGATGGTGCTGGCGTGGGCTAGATGGAGTGGTGGTGCGGCGGGCGTTCAGAATGTCACTTCCCGATCGATCGGAAGTTGGCCTGTAATTCAACTCAATAAATACGGGTACTATCTGCTGTCCATTTTCGGTAGAAATTGGGAAGAGCTCTGCGAAAAACGAAAGCAGTGTATATTAAGTAAGTTGTTATTTATTAAATAAAAAATTATTTGTGGGATGGGAGTTCGAAGGCAACCGGTTGTAAACCTTATCAAAAAACATGAGATAAAATAAAACAATATCTAACCACTTTGAAAACCACATCCGAGATACGGTGATCTGTCATCAAGTGTACCTCATTTGTCAATCGATGAGTTGTGATTTCACACAATATTCATAGATGGAAACTAGTATTCTGGCTCTTTTAAATGAGATGAGAACGAAGTTCCTTCTTTTTTCTCAATTGTGCATAATGACTTTCAATTTTCTAGTCAAAGAAGTTCTTATAACGAACGTCGATGAATGCCGGACGATGTATTACCGAAATTTTATCACCTTGCGCCGATTTTCATACCCCATACTGTTGGGCATATATATATTTGTTTTAAGTTAAATTGATTGAAAGCATTAATGCTTTCTAAAGAAATAAGAAGCAAATGAATGAACTTAAGTACCTCTAAGTAGACGCCCAATTTTCATTGGACTGGATACAGCGTTATAAGAGAAAGCGCCGGTTGATCCACGGGACGTGGTCAGAGAAACTTTATCAGAAGAGGATTCAGCAGAATTGACAGTAGAACACCGATCGACTGCCCGTTGTAGGAAGGCGTTTTCAGCTCGAAGACAGCGAACTTGGTACTGCAGACTACGAACTGTTTCCTGCATCATTTCCAGCATCATCTCACCACCGACCATTCCCTCACCTCCTTCCTCCTCAGAACACAAGTTTTTGTCAGTTGTGGTTGGTGATTCACCACTTGAACTTGTTGGTGAGTGGTGCACACTTGATGAGCTAAGATGGAAATGCGAACAATTTACATGAAGTCGAGTAATCAGATATCATGGCAAATAGAAGGGAAACATGCCTTCCAGGACTAGGCAAGTTTACATCATGAGAAGAGGAGGTTGATGTGACTTTTGCACGGTCTGGTGGATCTCGGCTTTTGCTGCGACGGAAGGCGCGATTTATGGACGACCGAAGCTGTTTAAATGGGAAAGAAAAGGGAAGTAATTAATTCTTTATTCAGGTGGACCTACAGATGAATCAAATCGCGTGGTAAGATTTTAGCATCGTTTGGAGCAATTAAAAGCCCCTTTTATCAGTTACAACTACATTTCTATTAATGTGTATGCTAGAAGGTTTTGAGAGTTCAATGTCACATTGAGTTAAGATTAGTTAGAGGACCACTCAGCAGAATTTAAATAAAATTCATAAATAAAAGAGACATTGATTTAACGGAGTGGAATAAGACGGAGGATTTGCGGTTCCATTAGCAAACTCTCAAATGAAATGATCTATTGAAATTTTATAAGCCCACATGTCCACAGCCAATCGAAAGTTAAGAGCGTAATGAATTCATTATGCTATGATAAACATAAGCATCCATATAGGCTTAGAAGATATGACAACTAATCAGAATAGCGTTTCAATAGAATTTAGATTACAACAAAATACGAAGTCTGAACTTTCGGATTCTATCTTTCCAAGGCAGTGAAAGCACTACTCATAAACGTAGTACCAAAGTTTAATGTTATTGCTCAATATGATTTAGGATTTTCGAATTATTTCACTTTATTTGGTTACTGAGTGGTATATAACGCTCCAATCAAAAGAGCGAATCACTTTTTGTACAGAAGTGGTGATCTGCGTTGTGTCAATTTCCCGTTGCTATGTTTGCAGCAATTAACCTGATTCCACATCATTTCACTTTCTCAACATCTGGAGCTAGACTAGGTTCAGTATTGACAGATCTTTCATTGTATAGCTTGATGTCTAATATTAAATCGTTTCGCTAGAAAAATCGATCATTCTCCATGGGCTTAAAGGAACTACCCATGGGGATTATCTAGTAAAAAGATTGGCCTTCAAAAAATAATGCTCAGCTAAACCACAAAATGCTTTTCTTAAATCTGACTTACCCAGCTACCCCCTTTCTTATTAGATCGATCGAAGGAATCACGGATAGGCATATAGTTGGGAGTCATGTATCCTCGAATTCCACCGACGGAGTGTTCTTGCTGTACATAACGACCGAATCCTCCAAAGTTACTGATTGTATGCGGACTGTGCACCAGACTAGACAGACTACCTGCCTGTTGTAACATCATGTCTGAAAAATAGAGTGGAAAAGGCTTGAATGATGCTTTGTTCTGCTAGCAGCAATTACTTGAATGTCTAATACCAAACAGCACGTCATCTGGCAATACGGAATTTATAGATAGAATAATCAAACGTATCTCATAACACTTGCGAAATGCTTACAGATCTACAGATTCATAAAAAGAAAGCTTGTCCATTGAAATTTAGCCGAATCAATAGGATTATTTAGAAGCTATTAAGCTAAAGCTTCGTAATAAAAGTGCGAGAGAATAACGAAGTGTTAATTGATCAAATGAAGGGTATTCAAATTCATTCACAATTATAAAATTTGATTGTATTATGAATATTGGAGTTGAATCCTACTTTCTGCCTCATATTCTCTGCCTGCTTCCTTGTTGGGTCAAAATCTTAAAGTATGTTCTTGGATAATAACTTCCTACACAGACTTAAATTTATTTTCGTGTGCAAATTCGAGGTTGCTTCTCGGCACTAACTCCAAAACGAGTTACTGACTTAAGAAAATTTTTTGTAAAAACGATGAAGGCTTGTAAGCTTAACCGTCTAGTTATCGAAAAGTCTATGCACTGGAATACAGATGGGTTTAGCAACCACCAGCGAAACGCTGATTGCGCCATAAAACGACGATTCTGTAACAGTAGGCCATGTGTTTCATAGCCACTGAAGGTAGAGGCAGGAACTGCACAACTTACCAAAATAAGCAAAATATAAAATATGCCTTAATATGAACGAACAACAGGGCGCTTTATTAATGCGAATTGGTCAGAATAGGATAAATTTTAAATAGAAGTAATTGATCAATACTATTAATCGACTAAACGGCAATATCAAATGATGCATACCACTTATATTTCAACCATGAATCTCTAAGTCTATCTTTAAAATACTATCTGAACCTATGACCAACTTGGAACACATTCTAATCGTCTCGATGGCTTGCAATGACTCATTCTTCCACTAGAAGAGACAAAATACTTCTTAAATATTATTTGATTTCAATAAAGATAGTCAAATTCCTTGCATGTCTAAGTAGTTACCCGAGTCGACAATGTGTTGAGATTTGATAAATTCCTGCGACTGGGACAACTTTTTTCCCTTTTTGGCCATTTCCGCAGAACACGGCCAATCACTCTGCAAAGCCTGACAGCGAAATTTCTCGATAATTTTACGCAGCTCTTGCAGCTCTCTTTCCTATAAATATCAAAGAGTGGTGTCAGTCAAGTTTCTGAAAATTACATTTTAAATTCATGCAATAGACGGAAAAAAGTATTAGTAAAGCAGAGTGGTGAGATTTTAAATGCTTTTAGGATGTTAAATTTTAAGCATGGATTCGCACCAAAGGCATAGACGACATAGAAGGCACTGTCTGAAAATTGATGATCGAATGAATAAAATGCATTTTTAGAAGCAATTTGAGAAATGTTTAGTGATGGTGCTCACCTTAAGAGCTGAGGAAGCTGATATTTGGTGCAAACGCTGGTTCATACTCTGAAGGCTTTGTTCAAAAGCTTGAACGACGGTTGTCTAAAACAAGGATTAGTGAAATCGGGCTTTTAGTAAGTTCAAATAGGTATCACTACCCATGACTCATGAAATGGTTAAGATTCTATCAGCTTGCAAAGGTCGACTGCTAAAACATTAAGGGAGAGCAAGCAACCAATGACTTACATTTGCTGATAGTTGACAGGTTAGAGCCGCAATCTTTTGATGAGCAACTTCGAGCTCTCGACGTAATTTTGCGGACTAAGGAACAACTCTTGTAAGTAAACAGGAAATTTTCTTAATAGTAAAATGCCAATTTTTAAAATACTACTTACTTCAAAGGCAGAAGACTCGGCTCCCTAAAATAAGCAGAAAATTGTCAGCTAATGTTAACAATGTAATATGATTATTGGTTATGATTGACTATGCAATTTTCCTATATTAAAATAAGCAATATTATTCAAGTTATTTGCATTGGTTTACATAATCTTGTTAATATAAGTGTCAAGTGTTATGGTTTGGGTTTGTTAATTTGGATTGGCTTATCTAGTAAATAAGAATGTGCAGATTATCTGTAAATCTTTATAAAACGTATTGCATCTACCCGTTCGCTATCCTATTCGTATGCCTGAATGCACCTATCCGCAGATACTTGGTTTTTCAGAACATGATCTTTCTGTATATTTTTACTAAGACTCAAATAGTTTGTACTTCCATGACCATAGTTACTCTGCAAATTCGGTTCTTTAAATGATCATGCCATGATTCCAGGCGTGTCAGTCTTTGAAGGATATCCTCTGATTATACTTTCATTGAACTTCCAATGAATTAAAAATTATTAAGGCGGGATCGTTTAGATAACGTCAATGAGTACTTTTTCCAACTAATATCCGTCTTGTCACCTATCTGGGATTGGCTAAGGCGCTGTAATGTGCAATTAACATAGCACTAGTTTACTACATCTTCCTACAAAGCGACTTAACTCTTGCAACACTTAATCAAATAAAATTAGGTCAACAGCATCTTTATATCAAGAAACGGCCAATTATACTGCGTGTAAGTAAGCTATATCTATACAGTTTCGAGAAGTATTTCTTGATTTTGCTTCCCTTTGAGGATTGAAGTTCTAATAATTTCAATATGTAAAGATATGGAATAAACCTTAGTTGGTAATAACTACCTTTTATTCACACAAAATTTCACTAAAGACGCTTTTGACAATATATATGCTTTGTTATTTTACGTCTAATGTCTAAAACAACACAAAATCTTTCCGAACGATAAAGGTAACAACTACTTTACTTTTACATAAACGTATATGGTCATATAGGAACAAAGATTGCAGCCAAAAAAATTACAATTGAATTTAAAATCTTTAGGTGTTGCTCTAAGGGGAACTGGTGCTATTGGGATGAATCCTTCGTTAAACCTATCGGAATTAATCAATTAGTGTTTCACGGCCATCGATTTGCTCAATAGCCTACCTGTCATATAATGATTTTTTTTAATTTTTGGAACAGAAAACAGGCGAAAATTACATTGTGGATCCAAAATGGGGCCAATGAAAACTTCGATTTCACTCTTCTCTTCTTCCCTACCTCTGCACCTACATGCATTTTGGACAATGTAGTCAGTGAAAAAGTCCTTTCAATGGAGTTAACATGTGCTTAAGGACTACAAATTCTAAGAAGCTTTGGTTTGAACTTTTACGTATCACGGAACCTACTCATTCTTTCCTATCACATTCAAAATCTTCACTAGATCTACAGATTTATATTCTAAAACTTTTTGAGAAACTAGTTGTCAAATTTTAAATACCACTGTGACAGCCATTCTTTGTCTTTCCGGCGAAAAGGTCACTGTCGACAAAGTTGGAAAAAGATCGGTGTGCTTCGAATATTACCAAAAATATCTTAAAAATGAACAACACTGTCGTGCGTTTTTCCGCCATGATAAATTTATACCTCCTAAAAAAGCTTTTATTTTGGTCAAATAATCTAAATATTTATGGGATCTCTGATTCGATGCAATATTTTGGGATTTCCTGTTCTTACTATGTTAGTGTAACTTAATTGCAATAATATTACTGATTTAAAACTTTAATGTGATCTAAACCACTTGTGCATTTTGCGGGTACTTTACACTTTTCTGCTTATTGAAGTGCTTGAATTTTCCACATTTCATTACCCTTTTGACATACATTTGGCATTCACTGGTATTCACTTTATCTATTTATTAAGTTTTTTACGTAAATTTGGGGAAAATCTAGCCACTGATATTAGATTGAGGATGAAATAAGTTTCCTCTTTTCGATTTAATATGGGCTGTTGATTATGAAGCTGACCTCATGTAATTAGTAAAAAAGGAAAGCATATGAAAGTGTCCGAACAATGAATGATTAGTTGGTGACTTACCGGTGATATGACCGAACCAGAAGACGACAAGCTCATATGCGAGCCAAAAGCTGCAAGTGGAATAAAGTTTTCAGTATTTTGAATTTGTATTCTCAGGTTAAAAGTCAAACAGCTAAATAAATTTATGTATTTCATAAAGGAATTGATCCATATAACATGGTATGCCTTTATTCAAAATAAAATAGAGTAGTAGAGTATAGTAGTATCGTTGAATCTGGGCTTTATTTAACAAACAGAGAGGGTTTTGCTTTTGAAAAATTAATAAAATGTATGGTATAATTTAGTAATAACTGTGAAGTTACTAAATTAAATGAAACACTTCAGGCTCGCAATGAATTAAAAATTCGCCTTTCTATTTCATAAGGGAAATACCATTTTCTTATGATATCCATGTTTAATTATTAATCACCGCAAAACTTTCTATTTGTAGGGAAACAAAAGCTAGTAAAGAATTTTCTTGCTCTTATTTAACTGCTTATTTGTTTGTGAACTTAAGATACGAACCTTAGAAAAAACAGATGAGCATAAACACTTATTCCCAACAGATTCCATTCACGACAACATAATACCTGAATCTGGTAACGAATTTGGAAAAAGAAAATCTTACTAACAAGATTATTAATTAAAATTGAGCATTAGAAGCATTGCCATTTCTTATTACGTAGATATCATTCAATAAACCGACAGTCTTCGGAGCGAATTCTCCATCATTCTATCTACAAGAGCAACTTATTTTATTCCATTTATGGCGGCACAACTCTCCCTCCTCCTTCATCTCAGAATAAATTTGTTTTATGGTGCATCAGGACGCTGTTTCTGATGCATTAAAATTGCCTCTACGTGCCATTGCTTTCATAAATTCTAATTTGTAGGGTGAATCATCCCAGTCTGTAATTATTGTGCCATTCTCAATAGCATTAATCGTGTTCTTCGAGCGTTCAGAATGCGCAGACAATTAAATTTGGAAGGTAATTAAAAACATTGAAATCTATTTCCCACCCCTGCAAAATATTATTTAATTTTTTCTCAGACTTTTTAAACTTAACTTCTTTAAAATATTGAGCAATGTCAAATGACCTAACTCTACATTTCGATGTTAATCATAAGATAAATTAGGCCACTTTTGGCAAAATGGCCGTTTAATAGGCTTAATATTGAAGCACAATCGAGTCTAAACCCATTTTGGCTTACAGTCAGAGATTGGTTGTCCTCCGGTATTGGCTGCATAAATCGATGATTTCTCCCTCTTCGCATAGATACCACTATTTGAACTAACACTTGATCCACAATTCGATGTAGTTTGAGTTCTTTGCAGCATGGGTGTGGAGTAGGGCAGTTTGATATGACTCAAGGGACCGTATCCCAGGGAACTTCGGCTCTGATCCTCACTTGCCAGTGTCACTCTCGGTGATACACGAGGCGTTTTTGGTGATGTAGGGACGGCTAGAACAGGAAGATTGTTGAAGTCATCAGTCGCGTTATTTGTGGCTTGTTTAGATGAGGAATTTGGTTCAGGGGTTCCACGATTTGAAGGTGTTGGAGTATCGTCTAAATTCGAACAAGCGGCGATGTGGTCTCTATTCGAAAGTGATGCGCTTGAATCGCGAGAGGTTGCAGCAAGAGTGCAAGTTGATGTACTACTGGAATCGGGAGTCATCAAACTCTGCAGTCCAATCGAAGAAGCCTTAGAAGACGCAAATTGTGGAGGTGGGCTAAGAGTCTTTGCCCGAAGGGTGGGGATGTGGGAACTGGTATTCGTTACACCGATCTGACGATCAGGTCTAAAAAATAATTAAACCATGCCTAGAAGAGTTGGATCAAATAGGTTATTGATTAGGAGCTTTAATATGACCCCTCGTCAGGTTACCAATGTGATTTAAAAGGTTACGTCAATAAGAGTTCAGAGGAACCTTTGACTCTGACTTAAAAATAAGAAAGTAAAAGCCAGCTGAAGATGTGTGGAATCATGTTAATCAGGAAGTCTCAAACTTCAGATGATTATGAAAGAAGCTGCACCTACCTGTGATTATAGACACACTAACGAATAAAACTAACCCTCCCTCTCTATCTCCCCCTCCCGATAAAGCTTTAGTTTATTCCTAAAATTACATTTTTTTCTGACAATAAAGACAATATTAACCAATTTGTTTTACAGGCGCATATTTTGAAAAAGTGAACGAGGCATGTCAGAAGTTTTCTTCATAACTACCTTCATTTGACAAAGCCGTTGTCGAGTTATTCCATGTTCAAGAGTATTAGAAGATGGATGTAATTGCAAAAAATGAAAGCAAAAAGTTGATCAAATGATGGCGATCGACTTTAGCGTAGCGAATAACTACACTAGAGCAGTTTTTTGCATTTTGTTAAATAAAAAAGTATTCTTTTGTTCATAGTCGAGTCACCTCACTTTCAGTAATTAATATATGATTTCGCTGCTCTTTGTAATCAGGTATGTTTCTGTGCTTAAAACGTGCAAAGAGTTTTAACTTAACTAATAGCAAACAAACAAAGTTTCTTCCCCAAACGAAAATAAATTGACAGTCCAAATTAGTAGTTAGACCAAGTCTTATAACCACTATATATATATATATATATATATTGAAAACTATTAAATTAAAAGCAGCAAAGTAACTCTTAAATTTGTGAATCATCATCCAACTTTATGCTAACGAAGCTCATGAGTTATCTTCATTTAAAATCGATGTATTAATAAAGCATATTTTAAGAGCTTAAGCTAGTTGTGCAGTATAAAGACGTAAAAATAAGTAAGTTTATAATTTCAGAATGAACGAATTTCAACGTGAACACAATCATTATGATAATGACCAAATTCTAACTGGAGAATTAATGACAACACTTTCATCAATAAAATCAATAAAAGCTTCAAATCCGCCAATAATATATTGTTTCTTAAGTAAATATACACCAGATAATCGACTTATTTTAAAATAAGCAGAAATAGATCAGTGAAACGTACCTGGACATTACTACGGATACCTTTTTGAACAGTTTCTATTGGCAATAATCAATGAACAAGGAAGGGAAAATTAAAGATCCAACCAAGAAGTAGAAGAAATAGACATTTGGTGTCTTATAATGCGAAGTGCTGTAACGATGTAGCCTACTAAGACGACGTGCTTGCATAACCAGTGGAGGAGATGGGGTGAGAGAGGGGATAGAAAAGGTGAAAGGAAAGAAATTCACTGCCCAACCCAATCGGTGCAAGAGAGGTCGAATAGGCAGTGGGACATTTGTCCTCGGGGATTTATGTTTCAGCTGGAATAAATTTAGATTTCCAGTACAGGTGTCCAAACAATCGCTTTTCTTTTCCCATTCCCTTTTTTGTACACACAGGCCTGGATATCTTTATTTATTCCGTTAAAATATAAATCCTATATACCCAATCCATCATTTTGTCAGCTTGATGAATATGAAGATACTTGTTATCCCTTCTTATTTGTTGATTAAATTTGATTTAACTCCATGCAGGCTTATATATTACTTAAGTAGTGCTAGTAAAATGTATAATAAGTTCATGTTTGGAATTGACTAATTTAAATCGAAGTTATGTGGTTATTGCAGAATGCGCAAATTCATTTTTATACTTCGTCAATATTATCCCATTCAAAGTCATGATTTTTGATGCCATATCTTATTATTTCTATTTCGTTTTTATCACAATATTCATATATATATGGAAAATGTAAAATGAAACATTTATAATTAATGTATACTTGTAAGAGTGTAAGCAAAGGTTTCTACATTTGTGTAAATTCAGATTGATCAGCCAAATTTTCTTTAAAAAACTTCAGCTAATTGTTCTTATGTTTAGATATTGAAAATTATAAAAAAAATCATTAAAGTCAGGTACTTTGTATGTCAGTTTTCTAATGCGGAATATGAAATTTTAAATTTAGTATACAGATAATAGAATTAACTGCTTTAAATTCAGTCATTTCACCGGTCACGTCAATCGCAGTCTCTCAAAAAAATCAGACTAGTCTGGGTGCAGCCGGTGGTGCCTGGTCTGAATAGTCATCCTGTATATTCTTTGCAATGTTATTAAATAATTATAGGCACCCTAAATGAACCCCTTTCATCTCAACGTAGCTGATATATATAGTGATCGAAGGAGTCTGAACTAATTGGCAAAATAAATGAATTTGTTATTTTCTGCACTCTTCTATTCGCTCGAACAAACTTTCCTAACTTCAGAATAAGTAGTATATTTGAACGAACTCAACGCATTTAAACACAAGTTATTGTCAATTATCGTGAATAAATGCAATTACTTACCCAGGAAGACAACTATTTTTGGGAGATTTCTCTTCTGTGCTAAGAGATTGGTTGGACGTTTTAGCTATCACAGAGGGATCTTTCTCTCTTCGAGGACTCCTCTCTCTGGCTAAATTTGTCGGTCTTGGAATCCTTCCGATATTTGATATTGTAGTCGAACCAGACGAATCCTGCTTTTCACCATTCAAAAGTCTATTTTTATTTTCCCTTTCAAGAGTTCCAGAGCAAATACTAGTCGATCGACCGACCTTATTGCCAGATTTACTCGTATCTCCTTTACCAACACCCGTTGACGAACTTGAATTCCAACTTACTCGTGGAGTTGCTGGGGAGGAGGTATCCGAAGTGACAGCTGAGGGAATTTTACTTCCAGAATTCAGACTTGTAGCAACCCGAGATCTATTCAAAGTTGCATTACTACTCACTGTATTTCCACGAAATTTCACCACTGGTGGTTCAACTATTGTATTCTTTGCCAATGGCTTCGCTCTTTTCGGAACGCATTGAGGTGTTCGAAAACCATTAATCTGTTGCTGGAAATTGTTAGTATAATCATCATTTGGGTAGGACTGCGAGGAAGTTGAGGAATCTTGAGATAAAATTCCACTATCTCGAGAGGAAGAAGCACTAGATGGAGGTTTAGAAGTTTCGTCAGGGGAAGCTGTGGGCCTGGAAATATATCTTGCATGTCTTTGAGTCATTGGAGTGGCAATACAGGACAATGTGTTTGAAGAAATTGTACTTGCGTTTGAATATGGTAGTCCTATGGAAGTTTGGACGAGTTGGTTTGGAGTTCTCATGGGAAATCGAGGATGCTGTCCAGTTGGACAGCAAGGAGAATTTGGGACAGAAGTTTGTCGCACCATCTGAGGGGTTTGCATACGATAGAAAGGGTAGCGAATGCTTCCAACTTGAGGTTGAATCATACCGTTGGGTAGAGTCATAGATGAGTAACGCAGACTTTGGGTTGGTTCCTCAGTAGCTCTGCGAATTTGCCTACTGCAGGAGGTAGGCTGTTGTCTTACTGTCGCCACCTTATTTGGCTTTTTTATTGTAGAATACTTTGTGGCCTCCTGTGGTATGGCCACTTTTGAAAGCATGGTATTCCTGAAAGGAAGAAAAATTGCGCATATTTAGTCATTCCAGCGTAACCTTTGTGGTAATCGGAGCGCGTAAAGTTGGCATTTAGGATGAAGTGATACTACTTTTAGGATATGAGCCTTTAAGCTTACCTACAGATGTCGGAATAGCTTCCACAAACTGTGTGAATGAAGATACCTAGACTTTTAAGACCAACACTTGATTTATTTTAAACTAAGCCCTGATTTCAATGTGCTGAGTAATCCTAAGTGCATCCAAATTAGATCTTCGTAACTAAGTAACCATTTATTTTGTTATGACGGGTAAAATATAAAAAATAAAGACCACAAAAAGCCACTAAACTATAGTCATTGAAATTCATCGAAGATATCTACTGGAAATTGCATCGATTTTAAACTTAATATAAATAAATTAAGGATTAAGTTATGTGCTAAAGCGTACTTTCATCAACTTCATCAAAATACTATGCTAAAGCTGGAATTAATTCTTGATTTTTGGAACAAAGAATGACAATTATATAATTTAAGTGATTAAATTTATAAAAAATGGATTGACAGTAAACAGCAAACTATGGACCAATTCTAGCATTGGGAAGCTTACATGCTAGTCTTTTAAATTGAAAGTTTGCCTTATTTCATTCATTCTCTGATTTTCAAACCCCCAACCTCTGGAGTTAAGGACACACATTCTGCTTCAACGTATTGGTTCAATGTCATGGAAATTGGTCTCACTGATATGGATTTAGTATTGAGTTGGTCAAATGCGCTTGATATTTAATTGAATAGAGAGAGAGAGAGTGATCAAATGAATAGAGGTTAATTAGCAATTGACAAATTGAATTTACAAAAATATTCCCCACGAAAAAATTTTGGAACGAGTTTTCAGTGTTAGCGAACAACTTCCGGTTAACAATGCTAGTAGAAGAATTTCAGTCGCGTTCAAAAGGTGATTATTCATGCATATTAGGAGTTAAAGGAAGGGGCGCCTTTGAACAAAAGACGACCGAGAAGTGTGGATGACCTTTCATACCGCAAACTAGTGGTATTTCATGTAATTGCAGTTGCTTCATAGGGTAAATGCCACAATTAGATGATCGTTCTATAATTCACACGTATTTCCAAGCCTACTGCGGCTTAGCATGGCATATTGCCTTTTCAGTTCAGAATTAGTAAAAATGTAAAATATACCAGAAAAAAGTCTTAAATATTATGCGCTTTTGAAATTAAAAAGCAGCTTATTTTGTTTTTTTCTGTGTTCGATTTTTACAATAAAAATATGATTCCAATGCACTTCAATATTTTCGAATATTTAGTAATTTATTCATTAGAACTTTCTCGTAAGCAAAGAAAGTGTCATTACTTGAATTAGCATATGAAGGCTGGGTACGATTGAATAGAAGTGACTTGAAAAAGAGTTTTACTGAAACATTTTCTATTTAAGAAAACATTTACTCATAAGCACTATTCATCTTTAAACACCCTTGCATCTACGGTAACAATTTTTGCAGAGAATGTTTGTCGCATTACAAAATCGATACATTGCAATATGAATTGCATTTCAGGAAATTGTACTACATTTGAGTAAAAATTAAAAGATCAAGAAAGAGAATTATTTATAAAAGTAAAATCTATCAAAAGATATTTGAAATCCATTTTTTCAAATATTTTCTGGAATTCGACTTTAAAAAATCCAAATTTCAAGATCCTTTCTTCTATTTCGTTTATTAATAAAACTGAAGAAAGTGGCATTTGTGGAAGCAAAAGACTACATCCACATGAAACCAAAATATGCAAGCGGTATTCACATTAAAACATGCTTTTTCTATAGTATATCCTTCGCAAGAAATGATTAGGATAAAGGTCAGGATGATGATGGGGTGAACGAATTGTTTTTATTATTCGCCTCCAAATGAGTAATTGTATCTCCATCTTTGAAAAAGATAATTGTTTACTATGGGTCTCCGTCATTACATACCCCATATTAATAATTATGAGTCATTGAATATCTCTTGGTGAATCTTTCTATTTTTGAACAACATCTGCACCATCATTTATTTAATTATAGATAATGAAAAATAGTAAAAGGTTATAATATTCGTGACCAAATGAAGTTCTTAGGCTACTATTAATGAGTTACTAACAGCAATCTAATGGCTGGCAACAAAATGGAAAATGTGTTAAAGTGGCATGAATAAATCCTTTTTATAAGCAAATGAACAAGTGGCTGGAAATATCTCCTATATTGTCAGATTGACGCAACATCAGATTAGTTAAATTGACACATTAGGGGTAGATTCGACGTAAGGTAAAAGTGTTTAAGCTGATGAATCCTGAGTTCCAATGAATTAAGTTTGCTCATTTGCATGACCGTCTCTCCTCATGACCCTAATACTATACTGTTTCCCTTTATCGGACGTTGTTCCTTTTAGTATGACCAAAAGCATTTAGGGTAATTAATTCATATTTTGAGAACAAATTGTGGAACGAAATTTCTACTAAAATTACTTAATCGATATCTTTTTTCTTTATGGAATCGTGAATTGGGCTTGAAAAGAGTGAATATTGACTTAGTTTAAAATTCTGACAATGTCAGTTTAAAAGTTTTTTTGAATGCATGCACGTGCAATAAAGCATTCAAGTGGACGAAAGCAAATTTTGTGAAGAGATTACAATAATATTGCATATTCGGCATATTTCGAGGACTTTTGAATAATCACGTAAAATTTACAAATCCATAACTTCTTTCAAAATACTGAAACCGTATCGGCTTCTTTAAAATTTGTGAATCACCACGTCACGGCCTGATTTTCAGCCGTTCTATTGCGCAGATTAATTGTGAGAAATTTTGGTGGATTTAAACAAAAGAAAAGTATGAAAATTCTTACAAAATTGGGGAACCGATTTATTCAATGAATTTTCTGTTTTGTTATTTGCATAAACATTTCTTCACATAGATCTAAGCAATCAATTTAAATCAAACAATACTATTTACAAGATTATTAAGTAGTTTTAAATGTGCGGGATAAGTTATAAATAAGTTTGCCTATTAATCGTACTTTGAAGTGGTGGTAAATCACAGGAGTTCTTACAAAATGTATTAAAAAGTTATGTGGAAAAGTATTTTTGAGAAAATTTGAGAACAAGTCAATATGTAGCACCAAGTCCTTCGAGCCGCTTTAGTTTACTAGTGCATTTAACATGTTGAAAGTAGATAGATGGAATCTTTATGATACGTTTCATTTCTTTTGATATTCAAATATGAGCGTCTCTAACTTCATCTAAATTAATAATATTATTTAAGTGTTTAACTTGATGCTCAATAATAAAATTTTATATCAGCCATTGCAGTTAGTTATTTTTAAAAAAATTCAGACAGTTACATGTTAACTGTTCAAAGTACTTTAATCTGAAAAAAAAATATTTTGATGATTAAAACATTTTTCAAACTCGCCGCTGTCTTTTAACGTAATCGAGGACCTGACGCTTAATTAATAAACGACAAACCAACTACGCTTTATTCGTAGCAATATTCAATAAGGTCCATAACGTTAATTTGCATTCTGAAAGATTTGTGTTATTAATTAATAAAGTAGTCAGAAGGCGAAATAAATAAAAAAACTCAGCAATTTCGTAAATACTCAATGGGAGATTACTTTACTTTCACAATGGCCTTAGTCTATTACTTGTTCCCATGCTAATGGGGTGTGCGATAGACTTACCTCCACGTGGTACACCCTGGGCAACGTATACTCATACGGCAAAAAAGTCTATTACCTGGCAGTTGACTTCAAACTACCATGACCCCACTGTATGTCATATTCGACTACTTTCTCAGTACTCATCCCACCTCTATTCTACCTTATCTACCTTCGTATTTGATACACTCTTCTGCCCCCCCCCCTTCTTGAATTTTTTACACTTTGATGTTCCTTCCCCTCTGTGAAGACTGAAGTCAACTAAAGGGCTAATGATAACAATCAAAACGCCTGCCATTTGATATAATAATGTTCCCATGCCAATCGATTGCGATTTTTAACCACAAAATTCTGCTACATCTACCATCCCTTTGAAATGTATACTCGCCGTGAGTAATTACCATTTAGAAGAATTTTAATATAAAATTAAACAGATATAGAGGAGAAATGAATGCACTTTTGTACCGATTTCGTATTGCAGTAAGGAAATAGCGTTCTTCTTACATCATCACTAATCTCTGGGATGAATCATCTTGACACATTTATTTAGTGCAACAAGTGTGAGACATCGAAATGGGTCAGAATGAGGTGAGGTGAAGGAAGTTAGCAATCAAAACTACTTCACAAGTACGAGGCTACATGATCCCATGCAGATTTCCCTTCCGCACTGACCAGGCACCGTCTCAGACTCTTCCTGACACACCCCCTGCCCCATCTTCCTGCCCCCCCCCCGGGAACATTTAATCGTCATAGTTTCATCTCCACCACAAATCTGAATTGCTGAATCACGCACATGTGTAATTCGCATGTGTATAGGTCATCATCATCACCGTTCCCTGGACGCACCTGGTGAGATTACGAGCTGCGTTAGTTGGAGATTCCCTTGATAAGTGTCTGGAATAATAGTTTGTTCGCACTTTCGTGCAAGGGAATTTCGTTTGGTAGGCAAAAACGCTGTTAATTACAAAAGGATTGATGATGAACATGTGAAGTGATAAACCACTCAAGTAAGGAGGGGAGTGAAGGTAAGAGGTATTCAATGGGGCAGAAGAATTATCCATTTTTTGTCTAAGTCGAAATAACAACTAAAAATATTTCCTTAAATTATTCCCAAGTACTTTATTTAACATTTAGTTATAACTTGACAAATAAAAATAAGCTTGAATTATCCACAAATCCATTTTCATCCATAGTTTTCTTTTTGTATAATTGAAAATGTGCATAGCCAGGTTCTATAGACTGAAAGTTCAACTTTTTCCTTAGCACGCGCATGAGAGAGACAAATGGCATTGTCAATGCTCACAT